TGGTCTGGCCCAGTATGGCCGTTCTTATATTTGTAATCCTCCTTTAAACTCTCCTTTGCTGTAAGGCCTACAAAAATATTGACAACAGTTAGGCTGTTGGTGTGCAAAGCCAGTTTTGCTGACCATATGGCCTCACTTTTTTCTTGCACTCCTCCAGCTGTCTGTATCCAGCTGTTGTCTCTTGTCTTATACCTAGATTGGAAGCTTTTGGGGGTAGGGATTGTCTTTTTGTGACAAAATTCCTGCTCTACCTTGGTGGGTCTTGCGCTTATTGGCGGATTTGCTCATCTTGTAGCTTCACGGCAGCCCTCAGCTTGGCCGTTTTTCTGAATTCACAGTCCAGGTCGACTCCTCCTGTGTCTGACCAGGAGTTGGGAGGATTTGGGGGGAACCTGGGCCCGTCTTCTACTCCGGGTTCCAGCCCAGGGCCCTGTGGAATGCAGCTGTCTAGAGTGCCTCCTGGAACAGCTGTGTGACAGCTACAACTCCCTGGGCTACTTCCCCATGGCCTCCTCCCAACACCTTCTTTATCCTCACCATAGGACCTTCCTCCTGGTGTCTGATAATGCTTGTGCACCTCAGTCCTCCAACAGTCCGCGTTCTCACTCCCAGCTCCCCACACACACACACACCACAAACTGAAGTGAGCTCCTTTTTAAAACGCAGGTGCCCTGATTAGCTTGCCTTAATTGATTCTAGCAGCTTCTTGATGGGCTGCGGTGTTCTAATCAGCCTGTCTTAATTGTCTCCAGAAGGTTCCTGATTGTTCTGGAACCTTCCCTGTTACCTTACCCAGGGAAAAGGGACCTACTTAGCCTGCTCTCCTGCTGTTGCCGCCCTCTGGCCTAGGCTTTCCTTGCTTTTTGCCCCTGCTTTTGGCTTCCCCCCACCCCGACCAGGCCAGATGCTCTCCCCCCTTTCTTTTCTTTTTGTTGTTTTTTTTTCTTTCTCTGGTGTTGCTAGAGTGCTGGCCGGCTGCTGGCCAGCTGTTAGCCCCCCCCCCGCCCGCCCTCCGACGCTGCTGCCGCTCCAGCTGAAAACCCCCCGCCTGAGAGGGGGGGCCGGCTGGCCCGCTTCCCCAGAGCGAGGGCGTGGAAGGACCTAGGCCCCGGACCCAGACCCAGCCACTTGCTGTTTGTCTGCGGACCCATCTCCGGTTGAGAGGACTCTTATCACTTGCTCCGGCATTTCTGGAATGCAAAAAAGAAAGCCCGGAACAGACCGAGCCGTCCACCGGAGGAACACCGCCCGGGGAATCTACAAATCGCCGTGGAGGGGGCCTAAGACTGAGTAACTTTCGAACTGTGCTCTCGTGTGGGGGGAGGCCTTGACTGTGTTTTAACTGTGTTTGTAGGGACACAGGGGGTGTGGCACGGAGCCGCCCCCCCGATCCATCTGTGTCCTCCCAACCCCCACACTACGATCTTCACCCCCCCCACTCCACCATCTTTGCTGGCTGTCTAACATCTGCCTGGCGTGGGCCAGAAGCACCAGCCAACCAAACAGGACTCTCTGGACAAGTGTACGGTGGTTCATGTGCCCCCCCCGTCCCTGAATTGTCCACCCCACAGCTTGTCCCTTTCTACCTGACCCCAACTCCTGTTAATCACCTGCCACCGCCCCCGCTGGGGCATCGGCAATGGAGGTCACCGGGGTCCTGACCTCTGTCCCTCCTTTTCTCCCCAGTGCTGCCTTGCTACCAGCCCTTTCCACCCTGGGGAAACCTGTTTCTGTCATCAGTCTTCTCCAGTTGGGCTGCAAGGACCCCACCCTCCGTCACATTTTTTCCTTCCGCGGGCATGTGCAACTTTTACTGCCGTCAGCGGCACGTGATGGAGAGGCGCTCGAGGGGTCCTTCCTAGTCCCCCACCAGGGGACCCGTTACCGGGTGTACTTTTCCACAGGGGAGGCCCGGTGCTACCTCTGCCGGGCGTTGGGGCATGTCCGGAGGGACTGCCCCTTAGCCAGGCAAGGAGGGGCACCTGGGATCCCCGAGACCCAGCAGGACATCGGCCCTGTCATTGCCGATGCCCCTGGCCACCCGGTACCTGAACCCACCCCCCTCCTCTTCGGACCACCACTTCTCCTGCTCAGGCCCAAGGGGCACCTCCCCTACAACGCCCAGACGAGCGGGAGAGCCCCGCCCTCACTGCTGACAATCTGGCGGGGCCTATGGAGGAGGGTGTGGCAGAGATACCACCAGGCATGGGAGAGAGCCCACCCCAAGGGGAATCCTCCCTCCCTTATGCTGCCCCACCACGCCCCCCCAAGTCCCTGAGCCATCGCCTTTACCCCCTGACACGACCCCTGCTAACCAGCCCCCAGATAATGCTATGGAGGGCTGGGCCCTAGTCCAGAGGAAGCGAGACAAGAGGAAGGCTCGAGCTCTGCCTCATCTACCCGAGGCGGAGGCCCCCCGGAAGACCAGGAAGGGGGGCACCGATGCCAAACCTTCCGCTTTGCCCACGAGTGCGTCCCATCCACCGGTGTCAGCTGGGAAAGACGTGGCAGCACCAGAGGGTAGTGTCTACCCTCCACGGACCCTCGAGGAAGCCCCTTCTGTCCTGACACTACCCGAAGCCCCCAGGAACCCCGAGACAACCGTCGTGGTGGGTGCCGGCGGGGAGAATCCTGGGGCGGCGGAAAGTGTCCTCTCCTCCATGTTCAAGGAGATTGATGCCCTAGATCTGACCCCTGTCGCCCAGGGGGAGGACGACCTTTTGCCAGCAAATCTCGATCTGGGCAACCTCACTCCACCCCTCTTTTCCCCATACTCCCTCCCCTAAACTGCTGCTTCCGCTCCCACCTCCGAGGAGCCCTTGGACTCCTCCATCGACCCGGCCACTGATGGCATCCCGCTGACGACCACTGAGCTTGCTCAGGTGACAGCCGGCGCCACGCGGCCGGGACACGAGTCGCCAGGGACACCCCCCGTTGGTGCAGAGCAATCGACTTCCTTCCCGGGCAGGGGCCCTACAGAAGATAATCCACCTCCTGATGCTGTGGCTGCTAAATCCACCACAGAGCACATGCCCAGTGTCACTGAGAGCTCCCTCCCCACCCCCTTAACCCTTGAGCCTGATCGGGAGGCGCCACCATCCAGCTGCTTGCCTCCCGAAACCCAGAACCTCGCCCGTGCCCCTACCCCTATCCAATTTACCTCCTGTGATGTTATCGCCGCCCCCAGGGCTGTCTCCTTTTCTTTCCCAACTGATGACCCCCAGGGAGCGGCCTTTGTGTTCTCCTGCCCTGACCCATTAGGAGCTGCTATTTTCCTTCCACCGCCCCCTATTGCCCCAGAGCTTGAGGCAGGCCTAGAAGCTCCAGCCCATCAGGCACCCCGTTGGGGGTCCGCACCCTGCTTGTCCGTTTTAGTGGACCACGGGGCTGCACCAAGGGCCCCGCCGGGGAACAACTGGGAAACCGTAACCCCACCCCCCCATGAGCTGCGAGGAGAGCTGCAGAAGTTTTTAGAGGATGTTCGTGGCTCCCACAACAAGGTACAACTTGCTCTCCAGGGACTTTTCTCAAATCCTCTGGGCCAGAAGGGCCCTCATGGGGGAAGGTAAAGGGACGGGGAAGCAGGATGCCATGGCCTACTGGCGGGTCTGCGTCTTCCGTGAAAAATTACTCACCTACAGGATGGGTCACGGACTTCCTGGCAAAAGTCACGAGAGTCGGAAACCTCCTGGACTACGACCGGGGAGACTGGCTGGATCCCCTGACACTCGCTCGGCGCATGGGGCTCTCCAGACCTCGTAGCCCCCCAGCGTGTACTTCAGGAGGTGAAGGCCGCTTTGCTGCCCGCTGCTAGAGCTTACCTCAGTCGGGTCCTGCTCAAGGGCACGCCCCGCCCACCCTCTACCCCAGGTCCGCTGGACCTTTTAATTGGACCCCTGCCCCGTAGACCCAATCAACCCCCTCATCCCTTTATGGCAAGCCAGCTGCATGAACTGCAGCCGGTACACTTCCAAACCGCGCCAAGGAAACATCTATACACGCTCGTGCTCCACACCCTTCACGCCCTCACCCTAGTGTCCCACCCTGACATAAAGTGGCGAGACCTTCTGCCACCTTTGGAGGGTGAGCAGCCCCAGTGGGCCAGCCTATCTTCCACCTTGGTTCCGAGGCCCGTCGGGGACATCAGTTGGCGGCTCCTTCACGGAGCTGTGAGCATGGGCACATACTTGGCGCGGTTCAACCCCATCCCAGATACTTGTCCCTTTTGCAGTGTGAGGGAAACCCTGGCGCACGTATATTTGGAGTGCACCAGGCTGCAGCCCCTGTTCCGGCTCCTCACAATTCTTCTATTACGTTTTTGTTTGCATTTTTCCCCTCACCTTTTTATTTATGCACTCCCCATCCGTGGCCTCACAAAGTCATGGGATCTCCTAGTTAACCTCCTCCTGGCCCTGGCTAAAACGGCCATCTATAAAACCAGAAAGGAGGTTGGCCGATGGAGTTTCCTGTGACTGTGGGGCCGTTTTCCAATCCTCGGTCCGTTCGTGTATCTGGGCGGAGTTCTTCTGGGCGGCGTCCACTGACTCCCTTGATGCTTTTGAGGAGCAGTGGGCGCTGTCCGAGGCACTCTGCTCGGTGTCCCCGTCCGGGTCCCTTTGTTTTGACCCTTTGATTGGGGAAGAGAGTAAGGGACCCCAGCCTCAGCCATTGCTGCTGCGGACACCATCACCTTAGAGGGGTCCTTTCACACGTGGGTGCACGGGTCTCCCCCCCTCCCCCCCCGGGTTGTCACCCCACAGCCTGCCCCTTTTGTTGGGTGCTTTCAGAGGAGGGAATTGTTGGTGACACTCGGGCGTGGCGCCAGGTAACTCAAGGGGGTGGCAGACCTTGAGAGTCGATGAGGCCCCCTCGCTCTGGACCACCAGGTAATTCGGAAGGGTGGAAGACCACAAGAGTCGAGAAAGCCCCCTGTTCTGGGCCCAGGCAAGCTTGAACACTTCCCTCCCCTGAAGCTAATGAGAAAACAATTGCGATTGGTTGCTGTGTTACACATTGCATATGCTGTTGTTTTGTTTGTAAGTGTGTTATGCAAATAAAAAAATACCTTTTTTGCTTCAAAAAAAAAAAAAATTATCGTACCCACAGCAGCCGCCATGGATACAAGCCGCGTGCAGCCCATCAAACTGGCCCGGGTCACCAAGGTGCTGGGCCGGACGGGCTCGCAGGGCCAGTGCACCCAGGTTCATGTTGAATTCATGGACGACACCAGTAGATCCATCATCCGAAACGTAAAGGGGCCTGTCCGTGAGGGGGATGTTTTGATGCTGCTGGAGTCTGAGCGTGAAGCAAGGCAATTACGCTGATCTATGCTGCAGCTGGTTGGCAAGCCTGATGTGACTACCATTTCCAACTTCCTGTAATGAAGAAGCGACAGTTCATACCTACTCCGCTTGATTTAGTGAAGAGGAATGTTGTGTTTCAGAGACTACAATAAAGGATTTTTTTCCAGTTTAAAAAAAAAAAATTACTCTCCTATAGCCATCTAGCCTCACCCTGTCACACTTTGTTCGGTGTTTGTACAGTGCCTAGCGCTGGTTCTTGAGCATAAGCCTATTTTACAGATGGAGAAATGGACGCCCAGGGAGCTGAAGTTACCTGCTCTTGGTCACAGTGCAAAAATCTGTGGCCAGATTGGTGACAGAATGCAATCCCAGGGCTCTGTGCTAAGAACTAGACAGACAGCGGTGCCTTCCTTGGAAAATCACCCCACTCTGCAGTAAAGAGCATATTGCAACCCTTCGATGAAAGAGACAAGGCCCAAAGTTAGTTGTAAGGAAGGAGAAAAAGAGAGGTCAAACGTCAGCTGAACTCTGCTGAACAACAAATTGGCCTAGCTAGAACATGGTATGTTTTCATATGCTGTGTGCTTGCTTTGCTATGCTGTCTGCTGAGGGTAGCAGAATGCAGGCCCTTTGGCTCACGTTTCCCCTCGAGCTATTATTTTTTATGGGGTTGGCACAGCGGCTCCCAGCCTTCCTTGGTTCACATACCGGCCCCTTAAAAATATTCTGTGATGTGACTGGAGTATCAAGCTCGTGTACCCCCAGTGGTACACATAACTCTGTTAGGGGAAGCCCTGGCTAGCTTATTAGCTAAAGAGAACCGGGCGGGGGCCTGACTGGACCGGCTCTCTTGCTTTCCGGGTTGCGGGCAGCCCCGCCTATGTCCTACTGACGAGTGGCGAGAACTGGGGTCTGTTTGAATCATGGCATCTCTTGTGGTGGAAAACCCTGTTTTTCAAAGGGATTTTGCCTTCTCCGTGTCACTGTCCGTACACACCTTTTTGGCATGACCTCCTTGTCATTAACAGCTCCTTCTACAATGCATTAGAGAGCTGGTCCTGGGAAGGGGGTACCTGGTGAAATCAAAGTGCTTCTGCACTCCCCCATGTGCCTTCAGAATATACCAATAACCATCCAAATTGGCAGGGGAGGGGCTTCTGACATGTGTGTGACCCAGCTGGCTCAGAAGGGGGACTTACTTTATATTGCTGTAATCGCCAGAGGCCTCAAACAGGGTCAGGACCTCACTGTGCTGCATGCTGGAGAAACCCATTCTCTCTGCACTGAACAGCTCACAGTCCAATGCAGTTGTGTAGTGCTTTTGTGAAGACAAGCTACGCTGCTGGGAGGGAGCTCTTCTGTTGGCAGAATTAATCTACCTCCGCCAGAGGCCGTAGCTATGTCAGTGGGAGAAGATCTCCTGTCCACCTAGCACTGACTACATCAGCGCTTAGAGCGGTATAACTACATCACTCAGGGGTGTGGATCTGAGTGACGTCGTTATACCGAAGTAATTCTGTAGTGTAGACCTAGCCACATAGAGCCATTCCCTGCCCTAAGGAGCTTAGGCAATCTAAATAGATAAGGCAGACAAAGGGTGGGAGAGGAAACAGAGGGGAAGTGACTCACCCATCCTCACAGCCAGGAATGGAAGAACCCAGATCTCCTGACTCCTGATCCAGTGCCCTACCCACTAGATCACGTTGTCTCCCTTATTATAGACGGATGAAGCAAGTTAAAATAACAAAGCTCATTGTTTTGTTACTGGGGCTGACTTTAAACATGGGGTAGAGAGATCATCACAAGCCACTCATGCAGAAGGACTCCCTAAACAAAATGTGTAATGGTCCCAGGTTTGAATTTCACCATCTAAACCTCAAGTCCACCTTTAAAAATGTTTCTTCCAGAGAAAAACAAGTACCTGTTCGGACCTCTTGAGCTGGTAATGCAGTGACCCCCAATGACCAAATACGGTCAGGACATCTCTCTTGCACCAGCTGCTTTTAAAACAATTAACAAGAGAGTTTGGTATCTTTGCTTACACTGTAAGATCTATATGTGCGCAACATGTGGGAGTTTTCAGTTACCACAAGCCTAGTAAACCAAGGCTACCATCCTCTGGGTAATTTTAACTGGCAGGGATGGGATGGATTGAAGCTAAATGTGATACTGATCAAGGAAATGTGCAGGGGCCCTGTGAAACTCTTTACCAGAGGATGTTGTAAATGCCACAACTATAACAGGGTTCAAAAAAGAACTAGAAAAATTCATGGAGGATAGGTCCATCAATGGTTATTAGGATGGGCAGGGATGGGGGAATGGGTAGGATGGATCTCGGAGACCTAGCAAGATCAATCAGCTGATGGGAGAGGCAGCGAGGACAGGGGATTTGGGAGTGGACTGAAAAAAGAACTAGATAAGTTCATAGCCAGGATGGGCAGGGATAGTGTCCCTATCCTCTGATTGCCAGCAGCTGGGAATGGGCAACAGGGGATGGGTCACTTCTGTTACCTGTTCTGTTCATTTCCTCTGAAGCACATGGCCTTGACCACTGTTGGAAGAGAGGATGCTGGGCTAGATGGACCATTGGTCTGACCCAGTATGGCTGTTCTTATGTCCTTAACCCATCCATGCGCTGCTCCCAAACAATTAGCAGATGCTGCACTCCTCCATGTACTTGACTTGTGGGTACACACATTCCAAATCGCTCACTTGTTGGCAGGCAGCCACGCCAGGAATTGTTGTCGCAATGGCACATCTACAAAGCTTTAATTGGGAATAAAGTGCTTGTCCATTCCTGCAAGCCCAGTTTTAAATGGCCAGAAGGGACAACTGTGACCATCTAGTCTGACCTCCTGTCTAGCCCAGGCCAGAGAACGTTCTCAAAATAATGCCTGCAAGCTCCACGCAGGCCTACAATGTACAAGTGCCCTCCCTCCCAGCTCTGTAAGTCCCGTTATTTGTATTTCACGCATTTCTCTTTCCCCCCATTATTATCACAACAAAGGGCCGGCAAGTGAATTCTGCATCAGGACCAAGAAATTTCCAAAGCAATTTTGTTTGGAAAAACCTGGCAATTCCTCCAGGGCAAAAGCCCATTCCTCTGGGCCAAGTAACTTTTCCTGCTGGAGGAATAAAACGCAACTAATCCCCCTGCCTGAGACGATTTGCCTGCACGCACTTTTCTTGCAAGGCGGGGGCGGGTTCTAGCTCCAACGCGAGCCCTTCCCCCTCCGGCCGGGGACGAAGTTGTCCTCCTGTAGCCCCTTGGGAAGGCGCGATGAAACTACAACTCCCAGCGGCCCTTGCGGCCGACCTTTTAAGAGGGGCGCCGGTGATTGGCTGGAGGTTGGGCCAGTGCGAGGGCGGCTTGTTGGCGGGGCCTAGCCCGGCCGGTGTCTCAGAGGGAGGCAAGATGGTGCTGGAGAGCACTATGGTCTGGTGAGGAGCCGGGGCCGGGGCCGGGGCCGGGCAGGGGGTGGGGGCTGCTGGGGTGGGGGGCGAGGTCGGGCCGGGGCCCCGGGGAGGAGCCGAGAATAGGCCGGGCCGGGGCCCGGGGAGCGGGGACCGGGCCCCCGCGGGGTTTCCCTGAGTCATCCCGGCTCTTGCTCCGCTGTCTAGGCCCGGCCGGGGGGCAGGATGAGGGGGAGCGGGGTCAGGCGTGGGGGCTCGCCCGAAGCAGGACAGGGGAGTTAGTGGGGCTATCTGGGTGGAGGGGGAGCAGGGTCAGGCGGGGGGGCTCGCTGGGGGGGGGGAGTGGGGCTGGGGGGGGCTGTTGGGATGGGGGGCTGAGGGGGAGCAGGGTCAGGCAGACGGGCTCTGGGGGAGGAGCGGGGCGGGGCTGTCTGGGTGGGGGGGAGCAGGGTCAGGCAGACGGGCTCTGGGAGTGGAGTGGGGCTGGGGGAGGCTGTCGGGGTGGGGGGGCTGAGGGGGAGCAGGGTCAGGCAGGGGAGTTCTGGGGCTGGAGTGGGGCTGTGGGGGTGGGTTGAGGGGGAGCAGGGTCAGGCAGGGGGGGCTCACCCGGGGTGGAGCAGAGCGGCACCGGGGGGGGGGATGTGGAGCTGGGGGCTGGTTCAGTGCTGGCTGTGGGGGGATGGGGGAGAGCAGTGGGCAGGTGAGGGGGTGAAATATCCCCAGGTGGGGAGACTCCTGCGGGCAGGGCCAGCTTGGGGTGAGGAGAACTGCACTGAGTGCGGGGCCGGGGGGGCTGTCAGAGTGGGCGATAGGGTTGAGCAATGGGGTATGTGGCACTGGGTCAGGCTGGAGAGAATCTGGGGGGGACTGACAGGACTAAGTAGGGGCCACATATGTTTAGGGTCCTGGGGGGAGGGGTGCAGGGCTAGTTGGGAGGTTGGAGGAGGGCAGGTGGGGGTGGATTAGGGTTATGCGAGGGAAGTGGAATATCCCTAGGCAGGGGGGACTCTGAGGCAGAGGCAGGGCCAGGCTGAGGGGAGAGTGAGGCCCAGGTGGGGTGGGGAAGAGGAGCAGGGATGGGGGGGTGGCAAGGGAGGGGTTGGGGTTGAGTTGTGCGGGATGTGGAGCAGGGTCAGGCTGGAGAGGCTCTGTGGGGGAAGTAGGGGTAGGACCAGGGTGAGAATCTGGTTAAGGGGATGGGGAAGAGGAGCAGAGCTGACTTGATGGGGTTGGGGAGAACTAGGAGAGAGGAGGGCTGGATTTGGATCAGGCAGGACGGGGCAAGTGGGAGTGGAATAGCCCCAGGCTGGGGAGATTTCAGTGTGGGGAAAAGTCTGAGGTGAGAGGGAGTTGGGGAGGGCTGGTGCCAGAAAGGGGGTCTGGAGCAGGGCTGGGTTAAAGTCATGCAGGGGGTAAATGGAGCAGGACCCGGCTGGGGAGATTTCTGGGAGTGGGAGATGAGTGGCAGGTTGGGAGCAGGGATGTGAAAGAGGCAGAGGCCATCCCAGTTCTGGGCTGGGGATGGGGTAGGAGAAGATGAATGGGCAGCATCAGTAAAAGGCTGTGGGGGGAAGTGGGATCTGTTGGGTGACTTAGTTCTAGTTTGGACTGTGGGGCACAGTAATAGACTGAAGGGATCAGGGGGTGGTCACAAGGTGATGAGAATCACTGCCCTTTTATGGGAGGAAGGATTAGTGCTGGACTGGTGAGGGGACTAAGCT